CTGACTCCCGCCTTCGTGCTGCACTGCCTTCAGCACATCTTGTTACATCCGGATCCTTACGCTGAAACTCCCGCCGTCGTTTCGTATCTCGCTCGTCCGCAGCTGCTAGCTTCATTGACCGGACATGTATAATCTCAACCTTGGCTTCCGGCTTAACTGCTCGCCTTTTCCGATCACCTTTTTCGGGACACTTCAAAGCGCGCCTACTGCTACCACAGCCGCTTCCATTTCCGGCCACCGGCGTATCACCATTGCAACGTGGTTCAGTGGCTTTCCTCCTGCCGGAAACACTGCCTGGCTCGCCATGACCACTTCCTTGTTGCGACCTCTTCTTCACTGAGCTAGCGGAACCGTCACGCTTTTCCTGTATCAGTGAACCGCTTCCTTCTCCTGATGAAACCACTCCGTCTCCATCACTGCCAACCTCCGCCCAACTAACCGCTTCCGTTTCCGGTGGAATTGTCGACACTTCCTCTAAGACTACCCATCTGCTGCAGCACTGGCTGTCGTAACCAACCCTAAGTGGCACTACCCTGTGACGATCTGTCAGGATCATTCTCTGGAGGTCAATCTTCATGCCTTGGCCAAGTAAGAAATCCACGCCGATGATGACTTCATCCACAATGTCTGCCACTATAAACTTAGTGTACGAGGCCCAACCGTCGATTATTACCTCGCATGGTACTTCTCCTAACACTTGGGTGCATTCACCAGTTGCAGTCTGCAGCTTTGCTCCAGGTAGTGGCTTCACATAAAAAGTGGCCAAATCCGGTCGAATAATGGAATGTGTCGCTCCAGTATCCACTGTCAGTACTCTCTCCTGCCCATTCACACATCCACCAAGTGAGGTTGCTCGCGTTCCGGCCAATTTGTGAGACGGAGATTATGGGCCCTTCAACTTCTGGAGCCAGCACGCGGCCCTTCCTGCTGGCTCGTTTCAGTTTAACGACTGGTTGGAGTTGGCTTCGTCTCCTTCAGCCCTGCGTTTGCGTCCTGCTGAATTGTTGGGCCCACCGGAACTTGCACTGCAATCGCGGGCGAAGTGGCCTGGCTTTCCACATTTAAAACATTTGCCAGAGCCATTAGTTTTCTCACCCAGCAGTTGGATAATCTTCTTCAGCATTTCATTTGTCTCGTCCGGTGTTTCTACTTCCACGCGATGCGCTTTGTAGGCTGGTCTACTTAGGAGTGCTGCCGTTTCACGCGTCTGAGCATACGAGACAGTTTCAGCAAATGTTGGCTTAGGATTCGCGTACGTCTCTCGCTTGGTATACACGTCCCGCATTCCATTGATGAACCTCTGGATTTTTACTCTTTCGAGGTGCTCGCCAGATGCATCTCCAATTGCCAAATGAGCCAACCTTTCAACCTCGGAGGCGAATTCCTGTAGAGTATCGTTGGATTTCTGGCAGCGATTCTCCAATTCCATCAGGTAAATCTGTCTCCTGTGCTCGCTACCATAACGTCTTTCCACTGCACCCATTAAGGCATCGTAATTGTTCCTTTCACAGTCGGGAATAGTCTGCAATATTTCCGCTGCAGGTCCTTTTAAATGCCACGAACAGAGCAGCGGATTTATCGTCCATGCTCCAGTTGTTAGCTGTAGCCGTCTTTTCGAACTGGAGCTTAAAGACTTGGAAAGGAATCGTGCCGTCCCAAATCCCTCGGTTCGTATCGCTGGATTGTTAAATAAATGCAATCGATGACCAAATTGTAGTGCAATTAACTTTATTGTACAACAACTACTAACTAAACTTGGTAACACAATTAAACTTATAGCTTGCTTATTCGCAACTCGCTTCTCTGCTCACTTTACTTGTAGCTTGCTGACTTGTAACTAACTCACCTCGCTGTGGCGGCGCCCTTATATACCTGCGCTGGC